AACGATTGAAATGGTTCAATTGGAAAGTTAATATTTATAATAACACTAAAATACTTTGTAAGTTAGTAGTTTTTGTGTTACTAGAATAATATTTATGTGTAAAATATAACTTTTTTTAAAAAAAATAATTGTGTTAGAGTCATTATAGTTAATTTAAATATAAATTAAATTTATATTTGCTAACTTGAACAGTCTCCGTTATGGGGAGGATTCCGATAACATTGAAACCCCATGTCATAAGATGACTCGGGGCTACTACAATACCTCGTTTGTAAAATTAACGGTTCTTACCCCCTACCCCCGATAAACCCCCACAGCCCACCCCTTCTATTATATCCCCAAGTTAATTTTGACTTTGGAGTTACGAATGAAACATCGTAGCAGCTCCGGGTCATCCCATGATATGCGATTCCAACAGAGGCGGATCCAGGATTTTACATCCATGGGGTCCTGTACATCTCATTCTTATCTCAAACTACTTCATAAGTTTTAACATTTAACAATAAACTAAAACTGTAACACCCTAATCCGTCCAGGTCTGCAGCCCCTTTCGGACTAAAGTATTTAACTTGGTAATCGTAAAATTTAAAACTTTTCAAACACACTTTATTAATCTCAATAATATTTTTCATAACATATACAGTACGGAGTATTTAAGAATATTGCGGAAGCGAACTTAATATTGACATATCATAAATCATTTCAAACTTGTCACATCCATCCCGACAATCTCGCCCCATCTGCCGTCAGGATCACATTAATCTTTCTGTTTACCTGCGTGTAGCAAATAAAACACACTACACGCTCAGCGGTAAAGCTGAGTAAGCATATCTAATGCGTCGAACATCCATATAAACTGAATCTAAATTCATAATCAAATCTTTTGATATCATGCACACAATGTTCGTTTCAGACATTCAGAGTTTTGATATTATTCAGTTCATATCAACACATTTTATTCAATTCAGATACTATTTCAATAGTGCTCTTAAATTATTCTTAATCTAAGGCTAGATCATAACAACGCTCTTAGCTATTCTTAGTCTAAGGCCAGGTCATAATAATGCTCTTAGCTATTCTTAGTCTAAGGCCAAATCATAATTTCATTCTCAGACGCTTAAACTATAATTAGTTTAAGGCAA